TAGCCCAGACGGCCTCCAGAGCACCTGTCACGAGGCCCAGAGGGCCTCAGGGGCTCCAACATGGAGCGAAAAGCTGGGGGCACCCTGGGCCAGGGGTACTTCTAGCAATACCCGCGTGTCGTCGCGAGAATCCTCTGCAAGAAACGGTACGAAGTGCACACGCGCGCGTCGTCGCGCGTCGGAAGGATTTCAAAATCGAGTGTCCAAAGAACACACAAAAACATAGGGTTGCGCAACACGGATTTTCAACAAAAGCGTGCGCGCGCGATCTTGCGTCGTCGTCGTCGTCGCCGTCCTCCCTCCTCCCTCGTCGTCGTCGTCGTCGCCGTCGTCGTCCTCTGTCTTTCCTCGTCGTCGTCGTCGTCTTGGCGTCGTCGTCGTTTCCGTCGTCGTTGTCGCCGTGGTCGTCCTTCCTCCCTCGTCGTCTTCGTCGGGTTTTCGTCGTTGTCCCTCCTATTTCGTCGCCGTCGTCGTCGTAGTCGTCGTCATCGTCGTCGTCTTCCCTCCTCCGTCGTCGTTGTCGTCGTCGGCGCCGCCGTCCTCCCTCCTTCTTCGTCGTTCGCGTCGTCGCAGTCGTCCCTCCTTCCTCGCCGTTGTCGTCGTTGCCGCCGTCGTCGTCCTCCCTCCTCCCTCGTCGTCGTCGTCGTCGTCGTCGGCGACGTCGTCGTCGTCGTCGTCGTCGTCGTCGTCGTCTTCGTCGTCGTCGTCGTCGTCGTCGTCGTCGTCGTCTGCGTCGTCGTCGTCGTCGGCGGCGGTGGCGTCGTCGTCGTCGTCGTTGTCATCGTCGTCGTCGTCGTCGGCGTCGGCGTCGGCGTCGTCGTCGTCGTCGGTGTCGTCGTCGTCGTCGTCGTCGTCGTCGTCGTCGTCGTTGTCGGCGTCGTCGAAGTCGTTGGAGACGTCGTCGGTGTCGTCGTAGTCGTTGTCGGCGGCGTCGTCGTCGTTGTCGCTGTCGCTGTCGTCGTCGGTGTCGTTGCCAAGTGCCATTTGGCACCCACCGTCACGGTCTTAAGAGGTTTTGCAAACCAAGTTGCGGGTGGGTGGGTGGGATGTTTGCGCGAGCAGTGGAGTGGACAACTCACTGCGAACAGAAATTAATTGCACCCTCATATATTGTACCATATGGACTACACCGCACATTTTACCCTTACAAAATTTGCAACATATCAGGTGCAACCTATGTGCTACAATCGAAGGTGTGCAAATCTGTTGTGCAATCTATCAATCTGTGGGGCGAAGGCGATCACATAGTCGCCAGACCGACGGGCAGGCCCAGACCACGGGCGGCGACTTGCCGGCGACGGGGCGGCGACAGCGACCACATAGCCGCCAGACCGATGGGCAGGCCCAGACGACGGGCGACGACGAGGCGGCGACGGGGAGGCGATGGCGAGCACATAGCCGCCAAACCGACGGGCAGGCCCAGTTCCTCAGGGAGGAATCAAGACGCGCGAAGTGCAAGCACTGTTCGGGGGACGCAGCTACAGCCGCTATCAAACACCAATCATTGTTGTTTTGATGAAGAAGTTGCCACACTTCTGCGCGCGCTTGCTGACACCATAAGGTAACTAAAGTTATTAGTCACTTGGTCAAGTCAAAGTATGCGAGCCACACGCGCGCGTATGCCGAACGCGTTCAACAGCCATCGTGCGCCCGCCATCTCTGTCAAATAATATCGTGCGCGTCGAAGTCCTTGCAACATTCTTGGGTTTCGAACATTTTTTAAACGTATGTGGTCAAGCATCTATGAGAAACTCCGTTGCTTTGCATTTAGCGCATGCTATAATTTTAGAATTTCTGCGACCCTGCACTTCCTCATTGTCAGTCGTTATCATCACTGTCAGCGTCATCGGTGCCATCATCATCGTCATTACCATCATCGTCATGATCACCGCCGCCGTCATCATCGTCATCGTCGATGTCGTCGCCCTCGTCAAATTTCCGCGCACGCTTTTGGTTCCTTAGTATCGTCACCAGAACCGTCGTCAGCATCATCGTCAGCATAAGCATTGCCACCATCATTATTATCACCATCAGCTTGATCATCACCGTCGTCGTCAACATTTCTCCACCGTCATCATGCGGATCATCTTCATGATCGTCATGATCGTTGTCGCCGCCACGTTGAATTTTGCCAACAAGTTTCGGTTGGTTAGGTGGGACGTTCGCACGCGCATTGGAGGTGGTCGCGTGCGGAAGCGGGCAAAGTAAGTTGCAACTCATAGATCTCGCCCGTACACGGCATTCCATATACGGCGTCCAAGAATGTGGCCCTCAACATAGCATCTTAGCAACTGCCGTCCATCTATTCTACCCGATAGATCATACCCCATGGGGAGCGCCCGAATATTGCACCCCGTGCGTTGGCCCTGTAGATCGCACCGCCATAGATCGCAAACGGCTCTCTCTCTCTCTCTCGCTCTCCCTCTCTCTCTCTCTCCCTCTCTCCCTCTCTCCCCGCTTTTATTCCCTTCTCTCTCTCCTTCTCTCCCTTCTCTCCTTCTCTCCTTTTCTTCCCTTCTCTCCCTTCCCTGTATCCCCCCTCTCTCTCTCCCTCTCTCCCTCTCCCTCTCTCCCTCTCTTCCCACGCTTTGGTTCCCCATTCATGGCTGGCCCACTGCAGCGCGGTCCCTCGGCCTCGCCCGTCTGCTCTCGTGGTTCTGCACTCTGCTCTTGAGGTTTAGGCTGTTGTGGTTCTTGTTGTGGTTGTTGTTGTGGTTGTTGTTGTGGTAGTCGTGGTCGTGGTTGTTGCAGTTGTTGTGGTTGTTGCTTTTGCTGCTGTTGCGGTTGTCGGTCGTTGTGTGTGCGTGTGTGGTTGTGGTTGTTGTTGCTGTTGTTCTTGTTGCTGTTGTTGTGGTTGTCGGTCGTTGTTGTTGTTGCTGTTGTTGTGGTTATCGTCGTCGTTGTCGTCGTCGTCGTCGTCGTTGTTGTTGTTGTTGTTGTTGCTGTTGTTGTCGTCGTCGTCGTCGTTGTTGTTGTGTTTGTTTTTGTTGTTGCTGTGGTTGTAGTAGCTGTTGTTGTTATTGCTGTCGTCGTTGTTGTTGTGGTTGTGGTTGTGGTTGTTGTTGTGGTTGTGGTTGTGGTTATGGTTGTGGTTGTGGTTGTTGTTGTTGTTGTTGTTGTTGTTGTTGTTGTTGTTGTTGTTGTTGTTGTTGTTGTGATTGTTGTTGTGATTGTTGTGGTTGTTGTTGTTGTTGTTGTTGTGTTGTTTTTCTCCTCCCAATGGGCTGGTTCCTGGTTATCTCTCTACTGCTGCAATCTTCTCAGTCTCCTTGGACTTAACAGCTGGAACCTTGCTTCGCTGCCACCTGCGAAGGCCCCTCTTCCCATACCCTGTAGGACGGCCGTTGCAGGGGTGTTCTCCCCCCCCCGTTCCCGCACTCCCGTTCTTTCCTTCTCTCTTCCCTCGGTGTTTTTTTCCGCCGACCCCACGGCAGGACGTGCCCGCTGCCGCAGCTTCGGGGTGCTCGCTCCTGTCGCCCTGGCCACGCGGGCAGTGAAGCATCGTCGTCGCCTCCATCGTCGCGTACGACTCCCTTCCGGCCGGCGGGTTGTTTCGTCCAGAGCGTTGTCATTCCCCACCCGGCAGGTTGGGGTTGTGAAGACCACAGCGAAGAGTCCGGGGTTCGCGGAGGGGGGTTCTCCAAAGGCGGGGCCAGAGAGCGAACCCAGCTGGATGCTCACGCTTCTTTCTTCCGGAGGCCGTTGAGATCGATTCTTCTCTGACCCCACCTTCGCAGGCCTAGAGGTTGACACCAACACCAAGATCGGCGGTGTGCCTCCACCGAGGGAAGACGATCCCGATCTCGGTGATGGTTGTCATATTCTGGTTTCCAAGGTGGCCGAGACATTACCACCAGCACCGAAAATCTGGGATCATCTTCCCCCTGTGGAGGCAGCCCCCTGTGTTGGTGTTGGTGCCAATTTTCAGGCCTCAATCCTACGCAGCCCTACCTTTGCGTTCCCCCGAAGGAGCTCCCGGAGCTCCCGGCCCGCCTCGCACACCCCAACACACGCTGCGGCCGCCGGGCCCAGGGTGTGCCCGCAGGGCCCCCCGAGGATCCCGTACCCCGTGGCCTCCGACGCAAGGAGGCCGCGGCGTGCCGCAGCCGCCAGGCCCGAGGTGTGCCGGTGCCCCCTGGGAATGCGCCTCGAGCTGTCGGGTGGGGATCGCCCGGGAACACTGTTCTCGGTCGGTGGCAGATCACGGGAGCCCGGTGTGCCCTCTTGATGCCGTCTGGAGCGTCGAGTAGCATCCTGCCCCGTGGCCTCCAAGGCAAAAGGGCCGCGGCGTGCCGCAGCCGCCAGGCCCGAGGTGTGCCGGTACCCCCCAGGAATCCGCCTCGTGTTGTCGGGTGGGGATCGTCGAAGAAGAAGAAGAAGAAGAAGAAGAAGAAGAAAAAGAAGAAGAAGAAGAAGAAGAAGAAGAAGCGCTACAGACATAAACTTTTGGCGCTCCGCGCGGATTTCTTGGATCCGCGCTGGGGCCCCCCGGCGGCGCCTCTGGCGCCGTTCCTGGCGCGCTCGGCACGCCAGGGAGGGGGTTCAGCGCAGATCCAAGAAATCCAGGCGGAACGCCAAAAGTTTATGTTTGTAGCGCTTTTTCTTCTTCTAGATCGCTCGGAAAAACATAGTTCTCGTTCGGTAGCAAATCACGGGAGCCTGGTATGCCCGCTCAATGCCGTCTTGAGCGTCGATTAGCATCTGGGAGTCGATGAGATGGCGCCGATTTCGCATCGATTTTGGTTGTTTTAGCGTTGATTTAGCGTCAGGTTCGCGTCGATTTCGCGTCGATTATCGTCGATTCGCAAGAGCCGACAAGGATGGTGTGGGAGGCTCCCAGGAGTTGCTACCGAAGTTCTCGGTCCTGGTAGCTCGAAGCGGGCCTCCGAGGGGCCAGGGCCAGGCAGGGCTCGACACATCCAACAGTGCTCTGGCGATCTCGTGGCCCGTTCTCGTTTTGACTTCGTTTTTGCAGCAAGGGCGGAGCGAAGACAGGACCAGGGAAAACGAGAACAAAACGAAAGCGGATACGATTCTTTAGATCGAGCCTTGGGACCAGGGAGCTGGTTGATTAGGTCGATTGCCCCTATCTCGACGCAGGGTGTCCATCGATGTCTCTGCGGCCTCCAGAGGTTCCCAGAGGTCTTCTGCAAGCCTTCCGGGTCTTCGAAGGCCGCTGGAGGCGTCTGGAGGCCCCCAGAGGCCCTTCTGCTTTTTCTGTTTTGCTTTTTGCTCATTGTTTTTGTTCGATCAGCGACCCTTGATCCTCGATCGTCGCCCTTCTCGGACGGTGGGTCTCCGAGCTCTCGGTCCCTTCCCATGGATACGTTTTTCGCCCTTGATGGGTTGGAGAGGGTCTCCAGGCCAAGACAGGGCCCCTGAGTCCAGAAATGGCAACCAATCTCCGCCGTCCCGACCGTTTCAAGACGTTTGGGGGGAGGTTTGTTTTCCGTTGGCTCTGTCACGTGTGGGTCTCTTTGCAAGGAGAGGGTAGTCAGTATCGTTTAAGCGACCCCCATCCCTATCCTCATCCCCGTCGTGACCCCCACCAAATCACCCCCCCAGTTGGGGTTACGCCCCTCGAAGCCCGAAGGATACGGCCTGCATTCCCACCTAGGGAGGTAAATTGGCGAGTGGGGCCCAGGCCACGCCGCTGGGATAGGGTTGTGGAAGTCGATTCATGGAGAAGAGGCATGCTGCCAAATAATTTCCAGATGTCTAAAACATGTTTCAAACATGTTTTAGATATGTAAAACACATGTTTGAAACATTTGTAGAACATGTTTTACATTTTTCATGTTTAAACACAGTTTTGACTCAATGATAGGACTGTTAGAGTGTCCATTGTCATGGCCTTCACAAGGATAAGGATCCGATACACGATGCTCGGGTAGGATGGGGGGCTGGCGCGGCCTGGGCCTGGGCTCCTCGTCTGGGCGTTCTTTCTTCCACGGCTGGGGGTGCGCATACGCCGTGGCCACGCGTGCTGGACATCACTCGGCCATGTTTGTACATCCAGTCCACACGTCCGCTCCGAAAGATGTGGGTCGACGTTCGCGCGACGATGCTCCCACGCAATTCCGATGCGAGTCCGCCGTGAATCCGCTGTGAATCCGACGTGGAACCGACGTGAACCCGATGAAAATCCGACGTGGGGCCGACGTAAAATGGGTCTGAAGTTGCCGCGCGAGGCCTCCAGGATCTTCCTCATAAGTGAAGAGGACGTGCAGTCCGTTCAGCCATGCGCAGAGGGGAGCATGGGGAAGGGGGGAGGGCTTCTCAGAAGCACCCCTGCTTCTCAGAAGGCGTGGGCCTTGTCTATCGATGTAGGCCGGCGCCTTCTCAGAGGCAGCCTCCTTCCAAAAAGCCGCCCCCCCCCCCTACTGCCCCCCTGTGGGCCGAAGTCTGGGATTTTCGTTCCCCCTGTGGAGGAAAAGGAGGAGGAGGCGGAGGAGGAGGAGGAGGAGGAGGAGGAGGAGGAGGAGGAGGCGGAGGCGGAGGTGGAGGCGGAGGCGGAGGAAGGAGGAGGAGGAGGAGGAGGAGGAGGAGGAGGAGGAGGAGGAGGAGGAGGAGAAGCCTTCCCCCCTCCCCCCACCCCCTTGACGCGCGCGTCGCCCATTTCGGCCTCGGGGGGCCCTCGCTCGGCCCCAGGACCGTCAAGAGCGTGCTCGGGATGATCAGGCGGCCCCCCGGGGAAGGGGCCCAGACCTGCGAGGGCCAACGTCGGTGGAACAACCACGACCTCGGGGGCCTCGGGGGGGGGGGAGACGTCAATGGACCACGCCGCCCCTGGCTGGGCCCATCCTGGGCCCAGGATCGGCGTCTCCGTGCCGCCGGTTCCTGCCGACCCTCCGCCCAGCGAGGCCCCACTCCGCCGCCGGCGTCCCAGCCGCCTGCGGGTCAGCCGCCCCCGGCGTGCCCTTCGCGGGCTGCGGATCCGGCATGCTCCCGCGGGAAGGGCCGTCGCTCTCGCCGTCGCCGCCGCCGCTGTCGTGCCGCCGCTGTCGTGCCGCCGCCGTTGCCGTCGCCGTCGCCGTCGCTGCCGCCACTCTGTATTACAGCGACGAAAGACATGAAACACAATGCTATCTGGCGCCTGACTGTCGTGGGCCACTTGGCGCTGGTGGACTCAATATTTGTTTTGCTATTCATATGTATATATATATATATATAGATATATGTTTATAGTTATGTCTGTTTTTGTGCATACGTAATGTGTGTACATATACATATATGTGTATGGATGCTTATGTACATACGTATACCAATGTGTATGGATACATTCATATGTAACTGTATTTGTTTATGCACATTTCTACGTTTTTACATAGTACATCTGTATATACATATATCTGTGTTTACGTGTACAAGTGTGCGTATGTGAATATGTAGATGTATATATGTATATTTGTATAATATGAACATTTGAGCGATGTAGTTGTATAGGGTGATGTATATGTATATGTATGTGTGTATGTATTTTTCTATGCGTATGTATACGTATACGTATCTGTGTTTTCATACAGATATGTGGATGCATGCTCAGACATTTATATACACGTGTGTGTATGTATGTTTTGCATCTGCATATGTTAACGTGTGTGTATAGGTACATGCGTGTATATATATATATATCGTTGTATGTGTGTGCACGTGTACTTGTATATGTTTACATATGTACACTGGCATGCACATGCAACTATGCATGTATGTGCATATCTACACTTATGTGTGTTTGTTTATGGTTATACGTATACGTGTATGCGCATATGCATGTATTTGCATCATGTAGTTCTATAACATGTATGCATGTGCATGCATATGCGTATATGTTGGATGTATGTAGTTGCATTTTACATATATGTATATGTATACGCAACTGTATATGTACATGGCTATGTATACATGTACGTATATGCATATCTATATGCGTTTGCAGATGGGCATGTATATCACCTACATGTATACGTATATATAGTTCTGCGTCTACATGTATATATGTACACATGTATATTTTTTTACATGTGTATAGGTATATATGTATGTATGTGCATATCTGTATGTATATGTACATGTATACACATGCATGTAGGTATCTGCATCTGTTTATGCACATGCACACGCCGATGTAAGCCTTCGGGGAACACGGACTCGGGCGAGCTATCGGACCAGGTGGTTTCCGAGCTTTCGGGCCTCCTGGAGGACGTTTTGGAGTGGTCTTGGGCCGTCTTGGAGGCCTCCGGCGGGCCTTTTGGGCAGTCTAAGGCCATCTTCAGGCCATCTGGGGCCGTCTTGGGTGCATCTTGGGGTTATCTTCGCCGTCTTGGAGGCCTTCGTGGCCGTCTTGGAGGCATCTTGGAGGCCATTTTGGCCGTTTTGGAGGCCATCTTGGGCGTCTGAGGGGCTTCTTGGGCCGTTTTTGGGTCTTGTTGGGGCCCTCTTGGGGACCTTTTGGCCTGTCATGGGGCCATCTTGGAGGCATCTTGGGCGCTCTTGGGGCGATGTTGGGGGCCTCCTGGGCCGTCTTGGGCTGTCGGAGAGCTGATAAGAATAAAATGCCCAAATCCTTAAAGACCGACGGCAAATCAATGATATTGTCCAGTTCGGGCCCTCTTGGGGCCCTCTTGGAGGCCTCTTGGGGCCCTCTTGGGTAGTCTTAGGCCATCTTGCAGCCATCTTGGGCCGTCTTGGAGGCATATTGGGCGCCTCTTGTACCACCTTCGGCTCTCTTGGGGGTATTTCTGCTGTCTTGGATGCCATCGTGGTCGTTTTGGAGGTCATGTTGGCAGTCTTGAGGTATCTTGGAGAACATCTTGGCCGTTTTTGAGACCTCTTGGGCCGTCTTGGGGCCCTCTTGGGGCTGGCTTGAAGGCCTCTTGGGCCGTTCTGGAGCCATCTGGGAGGCCTCTGGACAAGTTTTGGGACTCCTAGGCGGGCGGAACACCAAAATCGAGACAAAACAAGAATCCTTCAAACACTCAAGGAAGGTTGAAGATTTTGGCTCCCTCGGACCTTCCTGGAGCACCTCTTGGACTGGATCAATCCTGGAACCTCTCGGACCCATCTTGGGCCATCTTGGCCGTCTTAGCGGCCATCTTGGCCGTCTTGAAGCTCATATTGACCGTGTTGGAAGCATCTTGGAGGCCATCTTGGCCGTCTTGGAAGCCGTCTTGGGCGTCTTGGAGGCCTCTGGAGCCGTCTTGACGCCCTCTTGGGGCCGTCTTAGGGGGCCTCTTGGGCCGTCATAGTACCATTTTGGAGGCCTCTTAGGCGCTCTGGGGGCGATCTTTCGGGCTCCTTGGGCCGGCGTGAGCCGTCGGAAGGCTCGAAAAAAACGAAAGCCTAAATCCTTCAAACACCTCAGGAAAACATGGATTTTGACCTCTTCGGGTTTTCGCGGAGGACCTCTTGGAGGCCTCTTGGGCCGTCTTGGAGGCCTCTTGGAGGCCTCTGGGGCCGTCTTGGGCCGTCTGAGAGGTTTCTTGTGCGAACTTGGAGGCATCTTGGACTCTCCTGGGCCGTCTTGGAGGCCATTTCGGACCATCTTGGGTGAACCTCGAGGCCATCTTGGGCCATCTTGGCTATCTTGGAAGCCATCTTGAAGCCGTCTAGAGCCGAAAACCCCTTCGCAACCACCTGTTACGCATCTCTGGCGGGACGGGCCGAAACCCCGGGGGGAGTTCTTTTGAAACCAAACCAAAAGCGAAAGGGTCTAGCACGCCGGGCACCCCTGTGATGATTCAACATGGGGCGGTTGATCTATATATTTATATATATATGTATATATATATATATGTATATTTATTTATATATATATATATATATATATATTTATATATATATATATATATATAAAACCAAATGAGTATCTATACATATGTATGTATTAGAGCCTTCGGCCCATCCCGCCAACGTGCTGGGTTGTGGGTCGGATGTTCGTTGGGATCTTGTGGAGGCCTCTCTATGGCCTTCTGCACTCAGTTTGGAGGCCTCTGAGGTTTTTTTTTTTTTTGGGTTCTTTTGGGCCTCTTGGGAGACTCTTGGGGCGGGGGCCCCCGGGGGCCCTCTTGGGGCCTTCTGGGTATGTTTTGGGCCCGCGCAGAGGGCAGGAGGAGCCGCCAGGTTTCCGCCCGCCAGCCCCTGCGCCCCCTTCCTCTCCGAGGAGGACAGAGAGGAAGAGAGGAGAGTAGAGGAGGGAGGGGGAACTCAGGGGGCCCGCACGGAGGAGGGGAGTCGAGTAGGGAATCGACTACATAATTGATTTACCCCGGGATTGTTTGTCATGTGAATCTGTGCAGGATGTAAAGACATTCCGTGGATCTTAAACATGCTCCGTAGATCTACGCATGCGGTGTATTTTAAGATATTCGACGCAGACATGAATATTGGGGGGATTCAATTCTCGGCGGCGAGCGAGGGGGGGAAGGGAAACGGGGCGCGCCTTCTGAGAAGTCTCGGAAGTCCCACGGCCTTCTGAGAAGATTTTTAAGCTTCCCCCGAATACCCAGCAAACAACTTTTCCGAAGGCGCGAGGGCTCCCGAGAAGTCCAGCCGCCCTCTGAGAGGGCCTTCTCCTTCTCACTTACCCTCCTTTTCCTCGCCGCCGAAATTCTGTAGTCGATCCCCTATGCGAGGGAGGAGGAGGAGGAGGAGGAGGAGGAGGAGGAGGAGGAGGAGGAGGAGGAGGAGGAGGAGGAGGAGGAGGAGGAGGAGGAGGAGGAGGGAGGAGGAGGAGGAGGAGGAGGAGGAGGGAAGAGGAGGAGAAGGAGGAGGAGGAGGAGGAGGAGGCGGGATGACTTCTGGGGTACTCGAACTCTGCAGTCGACCCCCTGCTCGAGGGAGGGGCCCGCCAGGTTCCCGCCCGCCAGCCCCCGGGCCAGCAGCCCGCCGTCCGTGCGGCCGCCTGGGCCGAGCGTCGTTGTCGGTGCGGCGCCCCCGCAGCGGCAGCCCGCGCCGCACCGCGGCTTCGCGCTGGCGCCGCCGCAGCGGCAGACGGTCGGCTCCTCGAGGACTGCGGGCTCCAGGCTGGTCCTTCCAGTCGAAGAAGAGAAAACGCCACAGATCAGAGGAGGAAAGGGTACCCATACCTCTACCCTTCGTCCGTTTTCCCCTTTCTGGGCCTCCTGGGAGGCCCTCGTTGCCACCGCTGGATTCGCCTCGCAATTTCGGGCAGACCGCACCCCAGGAGAGGTCCAGGGAGTAGCGGTATCGGCACCTTTTGGCTTCCCCGTTCTAGTCAAAGAAGAGAAAGCGCCATAAACATAACATTTTGGCGCTCCGCGCGGATTTCTGGGACCCGCGCTGGGGCCCCCCCGGCGCCGCCTCCAGCGGCGCCCCTAGCGCGCTCCGCGCGCCGGGGACGGGTGTCCAGCGCGGATCCAAGAAATCCTCGCGGAACGCCAGAAGTTTATGTTTATGCCGTTTTTTCTTCTTCTGTCTAGGCCTCCCAGATGGGGTCCGAGTAGATGAGGTCGGAGGCTACATCTGCGATGCATTGGCGATGCGGCGCGATCCTTCCACCCCTAGGACCCCACCTAGGAGGCCTTTAGACAGGGGCGGATAGGCATAGGGGAGATGCATCGACCCCCGATCGCCCACTCATCGCCGACAGGGGCGCGATGGCAGCACCCTGCCCAGGAGCGTGCCGCTCCGCTATCGGGGGCCCACCGCCGATCTATCGGCGAGGTGCCGCGGATTCCAGGCCGATGTTTCCCCCCCCTGCGCCAGTCCCCCCCCCATCGTTGCCCCTCACTGGGCCCGCGTCCGAGATGAGCCCGCAGCGATTTCGATCCACCTCGGGCCCTGGAGCCCTCGCGGATCGACCTGGTTCGAAACACTGCGCAGAGAGGTGGGGTCCAGGGCTCCAGTCGTTTTTTTGTATAGTTTGTTTGTTTGTTTGTGTGTGTGTGTGTGTGTGTGTTTTCATGTTCTTCTTGCGATGCTGATGTTCTTTGGTTTGTTTTTGTTTATATTTTTTTTGGTGTGTGTGTGTGTGTTTGTGTGTGTGTGTGTGTTGTGTGTGTTGTGTGTGTGTGTGCTTGTTTGTTTGTTTGTTGTGTTTTTTTGTGTTTGTTTGTTTGTTTGTTTGTTTGTGTGTGTGTGTGTGTTTGTGCTGTTTGTTTGTGTTGTTTGTGCTGTTTCTTCCGCAGTGCGGGATCTCAGCAGATTCCGAGGCCGCTGCCCGCCCTGGAGGGCTCCTCATTGCCGCGGCTGGACGCGCGTCGAGACATCTCAGTCAGCACACATCCCCAGAGGAGGAGCACTGGATCTCTTGGACTTCCGCGCGGATTTCTTGGACTTCCGCGCGGGAATCCAAGAAATCCGGGCGGAAATCCAAGACATACGCATAAGGTATAGGATTTCCGCGCGGATTTCTTGGGTCGGCGCCGGGGCCTCCTGGTGGCGCCTCCAGCGCCGCCTCTGGCGCGCTCCGCGCGCCAGGGACGGGGGTGCACCGCAGATCCAGGAAGTTCGAGCGTACCTTCGAAAGTTTGTGCTGATGCCTGTCCTTGTTCCCCGTTTGCGTTCTGAGGCTGCGCCCCCCTTTTCCTCCCCCCTCCCTGGTTAATTCAAGCTTCGCGCGGCCCGCTTAGCTTCGACCAGAAGAGGTGCGCTCTCGACCCGCGAATCAACAAGAAACTGTCCTTGTTCCCCGAACTTCTTGCCCGTTCTGGACATGACCTGCTGTCGGTGCCGCCACGGGCGTTGTCTATCCGAGGCAGAGGGCCGCTTCCCCAAAACAGCGGCCGCTGTCGGTTTTGGACAGCACTTGTTGATAGGTATCATGCCCATTGTTCCCCGCTCCCACTTCGGGCGTCCAGGCTCGCGGATTGATCTGGCTTGGGAGGTCCCGCAGAAGTATAATCGTGATTTGCCTGACATCCGGCCTCAGACCCCCCGCGCCGTGAACAAAAGCGCGACGAACGGTTTTGCGTCTTTTCGGCCTCCCCGGGGGCCTTCTCCGGACCCCAGGCCCGTCCACAGAACGACTCGGGACGAAGAGCTGGTCCCTGGGTGCGGGTCGATGCCTCCAGGGGTCCACGCTGGGAAGGAGCCACGGCGTCGAGGGCCTCGGGCCCGGGACCTCTCCGGGCCTCCACGGCACCTGGATCCATCTCGAGGCTTATGATGTTCCAACCTGTTTTTGCTTTGACCGCCAGAAAGAATTTCGAGCACCGAGACAGCACCGAAACTAGAGGGTTTTCACGCGTCGGGCCCTGGGAGGCGATACTCGCTTGACACTCTTTCGATAGTTTTCTAGGTGCATTCTGGGATGTGGTCCTTAGGTGCGATGGGAGCAACATAACTCGAGGCCCAAGTTGCTCCTGGACAAGCGTAAGATGCTGGGCGGGGCTTTCTCGCTCGAGCGAGGGCCCCCCATGTTCCAACAGCTGGCGCTCGAACTTGTCTTAAGCTGGGCATGTCCCTCTACAGAGGAATATTCAAGAATAGTCAAAAATAGTGTGCGGACGATTGCTAGACTATTTTTGATTCTTTTGTGTGTTTGTGTGTGTGTGTGTGTGTGTGTGTGTATGTGAGACTATTTTTAGCATCTCCTCCAAAATCCGCCTGTCGGAATTCATGCCCAGCCTAAGGTCTGTCGCGCACCCGCAGAAGCTGGTCCGATTTGAGCTTTCTTGGGGGGTTCCTTGCAGAAGGCCGCCCTTTCGTGGCGGGCCTGAGTGGTCTGACGCGGCCCGTCTGGGAGGTTTGTGCCCCCCACCCCGAGTACAGCATGCTGTCTGGTTCCACCAGGCAGCGAAAGTATTCACACTTATTTTTTATGAGCTTCTCCTTCGGAGCTGTTCGATTTCCGGACGAGTACGCACACATCGTTTCCAGTATTCTGCCCATCTGTGATGAAACTCCCATAGCTGTCACATGGTAAAAACAGTAACGCGAAGCTTTGCGCAACTGTCGTGCGAGAGTTGTCCAGTTCTCGTACGCCAGCTGTACAGCTCCAGTAATATTGGCGGCCACCGCTCAGTTTCGAAACAGCAGGTCCCAGATGTTCAATGGAATTTGGGCCGCATGGGTGAGGAGGGCTGCCCTGAGACAGGAGCTCAGCGGAAGCCAAAAGCACAACCCCAAACTGAACACAGTCCAGTCGTGCAACGAATTCCTCGAGGCATGGAATGACGCCGGGCACGACGCCTATAAGATGGACAGCGAGCTAGGGCTCAACGTCAACTGGGCAGCTGTCAAGGACAATCACATGAAGGTCATGCACCGCGACTCCCGTGCGCACGCTCAGCGCGATCACGACAGCAACAGCAGACCCGCCCCATGGACAGCAGAGGGCAGAACAGCCACCGCGGCAGCCGCGCATGACCGATGGGCAGGCGCCATCGGCTCAGCCATGGGCCAGCAGGAAGCCCCATGGACGGACACGGACTGGAAAGGAAAGGGTAAGCGGTACCCCCCCAGGGGGGATGACCAGTACACGGACAAGCGCGCCCGATGGTGGGCTAGGGAGGACTCCTACGCCCAGGGCTAAAAGTGCCAGTCCAACTCGTCACAGCACCCCCGGCCCTCCTGGCCAACGTGCGCCTTCCCCCCCCCGCCTGCTACCCCCCTTCGGGGCCTGTTTCACCTCGCAGCGCCCGGCTTTGGCCGTAATACCTTGGGGCAACATCTGCTGGGGCGGAGGTCGCCCCACATCTCACCCTAGGCGCAGCATAGCTAGACAGCCCACACTGGATACGTGGACCCATCCCTGACATTTCACCCCCCTGCTCATCAGGGGACCAGCCCGCTGGACTGACCGGTCCCGGGATCACCCACTTTGCTGTCCAACGGAGGCAGCCACCCATCCTTCGGTGACAGGGGGACGTCGGCGGAAGCAGCCCCCCCTGCGCGCCAGCGTAGCGGCCTGTTATTTCAGGCCACAGTTTTGGCAGCTTCAGCTCCAGCGGCGAGTAGCTGCGACTCCCGAGGACCCACCTCCTGGGACGCACCTCGCTGCAGGCTCACATCCTCTGCGTTGGCTGCGGCCCTGGTGGGCCTTCACCCGTTCGCACACATTCACAGAGACCTCAGCGGCGATTAGCTGCGACCCCCACGATGTGTAAAAGAGATCCTAGCGGCGATTAGCTGCGACCCCCCAGTTATTCAATGCAAGTGCTAGCGGCGATTAGCTGCGACCCCCAGGACGATCCAAGAGGAAGGCCACGGCCCCTGGCCCACGGCAGCTGGGAGCCTGGCCGCGGGGTGAGGCGTTGCGTCCCCTCGCCTCTCCCCTCCCGGGCCCGGTGGGTGTCCCCCGCCCGTGGCTCCGGGGCTCGCCCGACGCTGCACTTGCGTCGGTGCTGAGACCCCCCCCTCCCTGTTCACGCCTTGGTCCGTGCTGCTCGTGGTCCTGCTCCGCACCCCGAGCGTCGGTTCCCACAGCCCAGGGGGGGCACGTTGTGTGTGGTGGCACAAGGGCACAGGGGAAGCGCCTTGCGATGGTCTGGGTTTGGCCACTTCAGCTTCACGGCAGCGGGCTCCCCCAGGCAGGCAGCGCAGTCGACACCACCACCACGCGTGCCGCCCATCACCATCCGACGGCGATGCTCCCCACGCCAGCGGAGTTCCTCGCTTCATGAGGCGGCACCGTGCAGTCGCGCTTTGGGTCACAGTCGCTCGGCTCCCCCCCGGCACTGTGATGCGGATTACTGAGGACTGGGCGCTGAGTGGTTCAGCCTGCAACGCCTGTACAGCCTTCGGTCCTCCCTGCTGTCGCGCACCGTTTTCTGGTCCCGACCGCTCAGCCGTTCGGCTTGTGCAGGTCGGCCGCGGAAGTCTGGCGCCGCATTGGCGATTCACTTCGGCGCATTCTCACTATCACCTGGCAGTGCGGCCTGCCCACTGTGGTGGGGGCTGCTGCGCCTAAGTGCGTCTGCCTTTCAAATTTTTGGTCATTTTGTTCAGTGCATGTGCAGGTGCGAGCTGTCTGTCCGCCGACTCTGGCTGGCGGCGAATTGTCTTGCAAATTAGCCCCGCCCGTGGCCCGGACGCCGCTTCCGCTCCCTGACCGTTGACTCGGAGCCGCCGACCAAAAAGTAAACCCACCAGCCCATCCAGAAACGATGCCCAGCGGAATTGCCTCTATCAGGGAAGTGGGCAACACACAGAGGAAAGGGTCCCCCAGTGCAGGCCTCTTCGGGCGTCTCGGGGGCCTCTTGGCGGTCCTGGACGCCTCTTGGAGCGTCTTGGGTGTCCCGGAGAGCTTCTTGAGATTCTTGGGGCCTATTGGGGGTCTCTTGAGAGCCTCTTGGAGGCCTCTTGGGCGCCTTTTGGGGCCTCCTGGGGCCTCCCAGGCGCCTCTTGGGGCCCTCTTGAAGCGCTCTTGGGAGCTTTGGGAGCGCTCTTGAAGCCCTCTCGGGCCATCTTGGAACCATTTTGAAACCTCGGATGGCCATTGGAAACGGAAAGGCGGAAAGGCGAGAAAACCATAGACATGGATTTTCCGAAGGTTTTGGAAGGATTTTGGCTTGTTCGGGGCCTCCTGGGGGAGATCCTTGGCCACTTGGATCCGTCTTGGAGCGGTCTTGGGGCCTCTTGGAGCATCGTGGGAGTCATCTTGAGACATCTTGGGATATCTTGAGCCATCTTGGAGGTCATCTTGGGCTCTCCCGGGCGCTCTTGGAGTCATCTTAAGCAGTGTCCCCCCCCAGGAGGCCAAAATGTGGCCAAAACCTTCGTAAAGTCAGATTTCGGCATTCTCGCTGGGGACTCTTGGAGCGTCATTCGGGGGGTCTGTTGAGGCCAGCCAGAGTTATTCGTCGGGGGGCCTGATGAGTCCAGCCCAGGACTACCCGGAGGGCTGTCTGTGCGCGCCCCGAAGCTTTCCCACGTGGCGATGTTTCACGACGCGCGGGGGCCTGGGTACGGGCGACCATCGACGACGACGGCGGGCGACGACGGGCGGCGACGGCGGCGGCGCGCGGCGCTCGTGCGGCCGAGCGGGCGATCGCCCTGCCGCCCGTCCCAGGACCGCGTTCGCGGCGCCAGCCGCGACCTACAGCAGGCGGGGGCAGCGGCCGACCCTGGTGCAGGTGCCTTGGGGTGGGTGGGTGGGGCATGGGGGGCATGACCCCACATCCAGAGGAGGGCGAGCTGAGATCAGGAGGGAGGCCGAAGACGGTTCGAGCGGGGGCAGGGGGACCCGCACCCCCAGGAGGACACTCCCTGGTGGCTCCTCGCACTCGTGGTGGTGGTGTGGGTTCTCCTTGCTCCTGTGCCCCCATCCTGTGTCGGCGGTGTAGTGCGGCATGGGAGTCAGCTGTCTGCGCATGGTGCTTCTAATGTCTGTGCTGCAGCATGCTCTCTTGCTTGCGCACGGTCCGGTGCAAGGCGCCTGACCTGACCTGACCACCTGTGCCCCCTCCTCCGCCGCCCGCCCCCCGCTTCACCAGCTCGACCAGAAGTTCTTCCGTGTCGAAGCTGCGGCCTCCACGCCATGCCCTACTAGGCACCGGTTAGCTCGCTAATGGAGCACGCACGAGTCAGGCGTTTGCTGCGCCTCGCTTCGCTTCCCTCAGCCGCCTGCCCCGTGCGCCCCAAGGGATCGCGCGCCAGCGTGGGGTCCTCGCTGAACGTCCCGGCGCTGCGGCAGCGGAGCGCCTCGCCGGTGCGGCAGCGGCTTCCTGGGGAGCGCCACCCCCGCCGCCAGCGCCGCCGCCGCCGCCAGAGCTGCTGACGCCGCCAGCGGCAGCGCCGCCGCCGCCGCTGCTGTGGTGGTGGTGGTCGTCGTCGTCGCCGCCGCCGCGCTGCCGCAGCCACCGCCGCCGCAGCCGCCGCCGCCGCCGTCTTCGTCGTCGTTATTGCCGCCGCCGTCGTCGTCGTCGTCGTCGTCGTCGTCGTCGTCGTCGTCGTCGTCGTCGTTGTCGCCTTTGTCCCGAAAGGAGTGCTTGCACCTAGGTTTTCCCGTTTTTCTTTTAAAGAGCTGGCCCCGAATGGCGGTCTGGAGGCTATGTCGCCGCCCCGTCGCCGCCCCGTCGCCGCCTCGTCGCCGTCTGTCGTCTGGACATGGCGGTCTGGCAGCTTTGTGGCCGCCGTAGCCGCCCCGTCGCCACCCCGTCGCCGCCCGATGTTTGGGCCTGAATGGATGTCTGGCGGCTATGTGGCCGCCGTCGCCGCCCCGCCGCCGCCGCATCGCCACCTCGTGAATAGAACAGCATATATTCTCCTTTCTACAAAGAGAATAGACTCTACCCCCCCCGGCGTTATCCGTTCCCCTTTCGGGTACGTAAATCAGATATGATTCTGACCACATGTCCATCCTAAACATGAATTTACACTATCCCAGGGGGGCCAGTATCGACCCCCCTGAGGTTCCCTTGTAAAAAACGATACGCGGGGACATCTTTTGTTCTAACATAAGACTTTTTTCACGTCGTCGTCGTCGTCGTTGTCGGCGTCGTCGAAATCTTTGGAGACGTCGTCGGTGTCGTTGTAGTCGTTGTCGGCGGCGTCGTCGTCGTCGCTGTCGTCGCTGTCGCTGTCGTCGTCGGCGTCGCAGTCGTTGCCAAGTGCCATTTGGTACCCACCGTCACTGTCTTAAGAGATTTTGCAAACCAAGTTGCGGGTGGGTGGGATGTTTGCGCGAGCAGTGGTGTGGACAAATCACTGCGAACAGAAATTAGTTCTCCTATCTAAAAAGAGAATAGACTCTACCCCCCCCGGCGTTATCGCCCCCCCCTTTCGGGTATGTAAATCATATATGATTTTGACCACATGTCCATCCTAAATATGAATTTACACTATCCCAGGGGGGCCGGTATCGACCCCCCTGAGATTCCCTGATAAAAACCATGGGACGCAGTGTACACGCGCGCGCCGTCGCGCGCGCATGCCGAAATCCTATAAAAACCTTCGGTGTCGCAAGGAGTTCGCAATCGAATTTCCAAAAAATCTACAACAACACAGGGTTTCGCAACACTGATTTGATTAAAAAGCTTACGCGCGAGCTCTTGCGAAATCTTAAGAAAATCATAGGTTTATCAAGATTTTTCAAAATGCTACCAAACGGGCTTCGGGTGCGCGCATGTCGAAATCTGTCGAATGCCCTTGCGCGTGTGTCGTCGCGAGAATCCTCTGCAAAAAATGGGACGAAGTGCAGACGCGCGCGTCGTCGCGCGCGTATGCCGAAATCCTTCAAAACCCATTGGTTTCGGAAGGATTTCAAAATCGTGTGTCCAAAAACCTACAACAAACACAAGGTTTCGCAACACGGATTTTCAACAAAAGCGTGCGCGCGCGCTCTTGCGTCGTCGTCGTCGTCGTCGTCGCCGTCCTCCCTCCTCCCGCGTCGTCGTCGTCGTCGTCGTCGCCTACGTCGTCCTCTGTCTTTCCTCGTGTTCGTCGTCGTCGTCCTCTTTGGCGTCGTGGTCGTTTCCGTTGTCGTTGTCGCCGTGGTCGTCCTTCCTCCTCCTCTCTCGTCGTTGTCGTCGTCCGTCGTCGGCGTCTCGTCGTCGTCCCTCCTATTTCGTCGCCGTCGTCGTCGTCATCGTCGTTGTCGTCGTCGTCTTCTCTCCTCCCTCGTCGTTGTCGTCGTCGGCGTCGCCGTCCTTCTTCCTTTTTCGTCGTTCGCGTCGTCGCCGTCCTCCCTCCTCCCTCGTCGTTGTCGTCGTTGTCGTCGTTGTCGTCGTTGTCGTCGTTGTCGCCGTTGTCGTCGGCGGCGCCGTCGTCGTCGTTGTCAATGTCGTCGTCGGCGTCGGTGTCGTGGCCAAGTGCCTTGTGGTACCTACCGTCACGGTCTTGTCTTAAGAGATCTTGCGACCAAGTTGCGGGTGGGAGGGTGGGAGGTTTGAACGAGCAGTGGAGAAGACAGTTTCAAGACGGTCAAAGTGAATTAGACCACATATATTGTACCACGTAAATTGTACCGCGTAGATTGTCCAGCATCGGTTGCGCAACACAAAATCTGCACCACACATATTGCACCACGTACTTGCACACCATATGGTGCACTACACATAGTCTCTTTTCTACCCCCCCGCGGAGTTAACGATCCCCCTGGTGTATTGTGATTTCAAATTCATTTCGCACACTCCTCCATCCGACGTGTGAATTCATATTATCCCAGCCAAACCGCTATCGACCCCCCCCCCGCCATCCTCTGCAAAATATATGATGCGCGCACACTTCTTCATCGTAAGAAAGCAAATTTCAATAATCCTTTGCAGCAAAAACCACAAAGTCATCACGCGCGCGTCCATGTCAGAATCGTACCAAACACAGTGTGATTGCAAGCGTTTCAGGATACAACACCCAAGGGATTTGCAACACAAAAATGTGAATGTACTGTCCGCGCGCTCATGTTTCCTATGAATTCTGCCAAATCCAGCGATTTCGTGCCACCGCGCGGTGCACCCGCGATACTCCCGTCATGCGCCGAGGGCGCGAATCCCTTACAACAAATACCACGCGGGCTACATGCGCGCACCGCCGCGCGCGAGGCACCGCGCGGATCTGAGCGAGACCTCGCTGTCCTTTGGGGGCTGCGATCTGCGAAACTGTCGACACTTTCGCGGGCTGCTGGTGGGTCCAGCGGAGTGAGGCACGGTGCAGTTCTGAGCTGGACCTCGCCGTCCTTGGGGGGCTGCACTACGCAGAATTGTCGCCACTTTCGCAGGGCTGCTGGCGGGTCCAGCGGAATGAGGCACCACGCAGATCTGAGCCGGACCTCGCCACCCCTGGGGGGCTGCGAGCCTCGCGAATGCCGCTCGCAGAATTATATGCGCCCATGTCACGTCATCACCTCTGTATAACGTGTCCCAGGCTACTCGTGCCCCGCATTTCGCAGGGATTGCGTACGTCGCCAGGGTAATTGATAAACGAGTGTGCGGGCGATACCGGTTTGGGTGGGATAGTATGAATTCACAGGTCGGATGGACGTGGGGGCAGAATCATATGTACATTGCAAAACGAAAAGGTGAATGGATAAGTCCGGGGGGGAGGGTGGTAGAACCTACTTTTCTTTTCTAGAAAGGGGAATTCACCTCGCCGAATTTGAAGCTGTTAACGCCACTGCTCGCGCAATCATCCCACCCACCCACCCGCAACTTGGCTTGCAAAACCCATGCGGCGGCGATTGCGATAAGTGCTCGGCGTTGGCTGGTGCATCTCTGCGGCCTCGCTAGCCCGCGCACAGTCGCGCGCGCAGGCCAGCTAGTTTGGCGCGACCGACGCGGCCGCGGTGGCGCTGACCGCTGGGCACTTCCCAGCGGGAACTTCAGAGCGAGTCGGCGACTTGGGCGGCACGGTATCAGGGCAACGTATACGATGATGATGGTAGCGATGCTGGTGGCGATGGTGGCAACGACGACAGCAAGGCCAGTGACGGCGGCGGTGCTGATCACACGGGCTACGATGACGGCGTCCTCGCGTCGGTGATGCAAGTTTTGGAGAGAGTTCAACATGCGCGCGCGGCCCACGCGCGAGCGTGGCCCGCTGCGTTATTTGACACGGATCGTGCCCCCCCCAGCACGCGCGCAAGGACGATCGACTGATTTCGACATGCGGAGCGGGAACCCGTTTGGCAGAATTGATCGCGCATGTTGAAAGACATGGTTTCCGGGAAAATTCGCCACAGCACGAGACCAGTTTTATGCTTTTCGGGACACTCGATTTGGAAGGCGCGAGTTTTGCGCGTTGTCTCGTTTTTGTTGCCAGTGGTTCTTGCGACAACACGCGCGCAAGGGTGTTCGAGCAAATCCGACATGCGCGCGAAAGGCGTGTTTGGTTGCATGTTATGAACATGTTGAACAACATATGGTTTTTTTCGAGAATATGCTACAGCCAGAGCGCCGGATTTTTGAAAACGATGTTGTCAAACCACATGTTTTACATGTTGTTGGGACACGCGGTTTTTGAAATTCCTGCGAAACCCAAGGTTTTGAATGATCTCGTCATGCGCGCGACGACGCACTCGTGTGCATTTCGTCACGACTTGCCAACATTTGTGATTTTTGATAAAAAATTCTGCGCGTATGGTTTTTTGGCCAACGGATGAGGGGGGATGCCGGCTTGCCTGGGATGGTATGGGTTCAAATTTAGGATGGACGGTGGGGCAGAAAATTACAATGCGCGAAACGTTCCTGTTAATTCCGGGGTGGGGTAGGTCCTAATATTTGTAAGAATGGAGATTCTATATGGAACAACCACCTGCGTGGTGGCGATGGGGCGGCGACGGCGGCAACAGCCGCCAGACCGCCAGACAGGCCCAGACGACGGGCGGCGACGAGGCGGCGTCGGGGCGGCGATGGCGGCAACATTGTTGCCCGATCGCCAGAGAGGCCCAGTTCCTCAGAAGAGAGGTGGGGTACCCTAAGTGCAAGTAGGCATTGTTCGGGAACAAATGGCCCCCAGCGTTGGGTGGGTGGGGGCGCCCTGGGAGGGGAGGGGGGACGGGCCACAGACCCTCCCTTCCCAGGCTCTGAATGTGAACGTTTTTATTCGTTGTTCTGCCGATCGGCGCGGGCCTTCGCACCCCCCCTTTCCCACCCCAGTGGAGCAGATCTTGGTTTTTTTTGGCGCTTGCTTCGGGTAGGTGGAGTCTCCCCCCTAGGACGCACGGCTCCGAGCGGTCGCAGGAAACAGAGGTCTGGAGCCAGACCTCCCCCCCTCTCCCGCTTAGTGTCGAAACGCCGAAAAAGAAAACGTTTGCAATTTTCGGGGGTGGACAGAACCCCCACCATGACACGTCGATTAGTGAATTGTCCGTTTTCGATTCTCGAGTGGGCGCCGCGACCGTCATTTTCCAGGCTTGCGCCCACCAGGTTTGGACCGAAAAACCACGCTTTACTCCAGGGGGTTCTGTCCATCCCAGAAATTTGGAGCCGTTTTCTGCCTGGGAGGCCTGGAAGCGCAGATCCTCCAAGGGCGGCCCGCGAGGACGCGCCGCTGCACGTGCGGCCGTGCCTCAGCGCCCGCGAGCGCCACGGCGGCGACGCGGCGGGGGCGCCCGCCGCCGCCGCCCCCGCGCCGGTGATGCCGAGGCCGGGCGTCTGTCCGAAGAAAGACTGGGGGCCCCCCAACGGGGTTGTGACCACACCGTGTGGTGAGTCAGTGGGGATTTGGGGTCACCGCACGGTTTTGGGACTCGGGTCGTTTTCCGAGGACGTCTCGGGCGACTGGGGCATCCGAGGTCCCGGCGCCTCCAGCGCCGCCCCTGGCGCGCTCCGCGCGTCAGGGAGGGGGGTTCAGCGCAGGTCCAAGAAATCCGCGCGGAGCGGCAAAAGCTTCTGTACATCCCCATGCCGTTTTTCTTCTTTCTGTATTCCGGCCAGCAGGCAAGGGGGGCAGGTTCGAGGTTCTGGTGTCGATGAGTTTTTTTTTGTTGCTTTTTCGGCCTTCAGGGGCCTTCAGGGGCCTCTTTCGGGCCCCAGGACCATCCGAACCGGGCCCGGGGTGAAAAGCTGCGCTAGCCCCGGAGGGGTGCGGGGATTTGTTTCCTTCGTACTTGGCCTCATCCCGCACTCCTGACCGATCTTCTGAAGTCCCAACGAGTTCAGACCTACCAGTCGCCTCCAAGTTGCACGAGACATAACCTTTCGGAGGTCGGCGCTGATTTCTTGGATCTGCAGCCGCTTGCGAGCCCTATCCCCTGCGGGTCCACTCGACGCTGGGGCATGGGACACCCCCCGCTGAGGTTCACCTGTCTGCAGACATCCTTCGATTTCTGACCCCCCGCCAGCGCTTCGGAGGAATTCACGCGTGGCTGCCCATTGGATCGGCGCTGGACCCTCTGGCGGCGTCTGCTCGCCAGCCCTGGCGCGCGGAGCGCGCCAGCCCGGGGGGGGTCCAGCGCGGACCTGCAACAGTTTTTGAGTTTGTCTGTGCCGACTTCTCTTCTCTCAGGTGGGCCGGCAGCCCACCAGGCGGTGAGCCCGCCGCCGCCCCAGCGGCGCTGACGCCTCGGGAGCTGTCAGCTGGCGCCGCCACGGCTGGTGCCGCCGCGGCGGCGCTGACGCCCAGGGAGAAGCGCACCTCGGTGCGGGTGTCCGCGGAGGGCTGGGAGGCCTGCGCTGCGCCCAGGTTTTGATGTTTGAGCATGCCGTCGAGCCTGATAAGTGGGTCGACCCTGCCAAGCCAAGGGCACCCTTTTGTGTCCTGCGCGTCTCGTCTCATATCTCCTGCGCCCCTGGAGCAATGGTGCCCTGGTCTGGGGGCCATGTTGCCACCAGAAGAGTCTGGTGTCCTCCGGGGTGCCTTCTCCAATCAAACGCGACTAAAGATGTTCTTGTGTGTGTGTGTGTGTGTGTGGGTGTGTTGTAGTTTTTTGCTGGCCTCCGGGGGTCTCCGGGTGGCCTCTGGGGACCTTCGGGAGGCCGCCGGAGGCTTCTAGAGGCTTCCCGGAGACCCAGACAGCCTTCATCACCTAAGACCGAGGCGGTCGATTTCGCGAAGCCGTTGGTCTTTGGAGGCGCGTTTCAATCCTGGGATGATCGAGGGGCCTGGTTGCTTGAGGCGTGACGTCGGATGTGTGCGTACGCGGCGCGCGTGCACTGCGTGCTCCCGCCGCACGCCCACGCCACACGTCTGCGCTGCGCGCTCGCGCCGCGCGCCCGCTTCTCTCTGCTAATCTCCAGGGCGACGAGGTCTTGCTCGACGGGCCCTCCGCTGGCCCGCCGCCCCCATAGCTCCCTGCTTCCCCGTCCCTCGTCGTCCTCGCCTTGTCTTTGTCGTCATCGTCTTTGTCGTCTTTGTCGTCGTTGCCGTCTTCGTCGTCGTCGTCGTCGTCGTCTTTGTCGTCTTTGTCATCTTTGTCATCTTTGTCGTTGCCGTCGTCGTCGTCTTCGTCGTCCTCGTCGGCGTCCTCGTCCTCGTCCACGCCTTCGTCTCTGCCGCGGCACGTCGCCGCCGCCGCCGTTGTGGTGCCCGCCGCCGCCGCCAGCCTGCGCCGAAGGCCGCTAGCCGCAGCCCGTCCCCGGTGACCAGGGCGGGCAGCAGCCCCCGGAGGGCGGGCAAGGCCGGCAGCAGCCCGCCGCCGCTGTCCGTCTGCCTGCGGAAGGCCCCGCCCCCCCCGGCAGGGCGGAGCTCGGAAGGCAAGGCTTGGACAGATCCGCCGCCGGTGGCTCGGAAGGCAAGACTTGGACTTTGTTCAGGCGCGGTGCGCATATACATATGCATGTATGTATGTATGCATGCATGCATGCATGCATGTATGTATGTATGTATGTATGTATGTATGTTTGTATGCGCAGGCATATGTATACGTACATGTATGTGTATATGTATAGATATATGTATACGTATATGTATGGGTACATGTATGGGTATACATGTATGTATACATATGTGTATGTGTGCATGTCTGTGTATGTATGTACGCATGCATGTATGCATGCATGTATATATGTATGTATGTATGTATGCACGTACGTACGTACGCACGTACGTATATACGCACGTACGTATGCATGCATAGATGCATGTACCTAGGTCAACATGTATGCATGCATACATGCGTGTATGTATGTATGTATACATATGTATCTATACACATATATATATGTATGCATGTATGCATGTCTGTATGTATGTATGTCGGCATGCATGCATGCATGCATGCATGCATGTATGTATGTATGTTTGCGTACATGCATGCATGCATTCATGCATGCATGCATGCATGCGTGTATGTATGTATGAAGGTATGTATACATGCATGCATACATGCATGCATGTAAGTATCTATGCTCGTATGAATGTCTGCATGTACACATATATACATATATACATATATACACATATATACATATATACACACATATATATATATAACTAGTTATATATGTATGCATTTATGCATGTATGCATGTACGCATGCATGCATGCATGCATGCATGCATGTATGTATGTATGTACGTATGTATGTATTTATGTATACATGTGTGTGTGTATGCATGTATGTATGTATGTGTGTATGCATGCATGCATGAATGCATGCATGCATGCATGCATGCATGCATGCATGCATGTATGTATGTATGTATGTATGTATGTATGTATGTAATGTATGTATGTATATGTATGTATGTATGTATATGTATGTATGTGTATGTATGTATGTATGTATGTATGTATGTATGTATGTATGTATGTAATGTATGTATGTATGTATGTATGTGTGTGTGTGTGTGTGTATGTATGCATTTATGTTCTATATATATATATATATATATATATATATATATATATTGTAGTGGCCTTCGGCCAGTGCCGCCGATCTGGGGCGCTCCGACTGATGTGATCCTTCTTCGCCCTCGTCCCTCCTCTCTTTTTCCCTCCCCTCCTCTCACTCAGCATTTATCCAGTGGCCGTCGGCCTATCCCGCCACCGTGCGTGGGTGGTGGGTCAGAGGCCTCATGGATGCTGGTTGGGATCTCGTGGTTGGCTGGGACTTCTGGGGGCCTCTTGGGCGCCTCTTGGGGCTTCTTGGGGGCCTCTTGGGCCTCTTGGGGCCACTAGAGGGCCTCTTGGGGGTCTCTTGGGAGCCTCTTGGGGCTTCTTGGGGGCCTCTTCTGCGTCCCTTGGGGCCTCTTGGAGGCCTCCTCGGAGCCTCTTGGTGCGGGAGGGGTGGTACTCGAGTTCGGAACCCCCTCGGAGGCCACGATCCTTGTGAGGGGTGTCAAAAAACGCATCCGCCGGAAACTCGCACCCCCCCCCCCCACCCCCCCTTCCCCGGCAGAGCCACCCCGACAACCCCCCCAGAGGCTGAGGCTCAGCCTCGAGGCTGTAGCTGAGACTCCTTGAAACTCACACGCCGGATCGGCGGATATGTATATGTATGCATGCATGTGTGTATATATATATATATGTATATAGCGTTCATCAATCAATTAATCCATCAATCAGTCAACACACACATGTATTATATATACATATATATATGTATATATATATATATATATGTATATATGGCCTGCGACTCATCCGCCACCGTGCCTGGGGTTGTGGGTCATAAGCTTCTAGGATGTTCGTTGGGATGTTGCGGGAGGCCTCTCGGGGGCCTCATGGGGGCCGTTTTGAGGCCTCTTGGTGACCGTTGTTGGGCGTCTTCAGGGCCTCTTGGGGGTATCTTGGGGCCTCTTGGGGACCACTTGGGGCCTCCTCAGGCTTCCTAGGGCCCTCTTGAGGGGGAATGCTAAACTTTTTAGTCCGTGGTCCCTCTCTTGGGCCCCTCTTGGACCCGTCTTGGGGCCGTCTTGGGCGCCCCTGGGGCCGGCGTCGGGCCCTCTTGGGCCGTGTGGGCGCCTGTTTGGGGGCCTCTTGGGCCGTCTTGAGGCGGTCCTGTAGGCCTCTGGGGCCGTCTTGGAGCATTGGAAAGCTGAAAAGGCGAGAAGGCCAATCATTTTGAAAAACCTATGGGAAATCCATGCCCATTGGGGCTTCTTGGAGGCTCCTTGGGCCGTCTCGGGGCCATCCTGGACGTCTTGGAGCGATCGTTCGGCGACTCGGGGCCCTCCTGGACTGTCATGGAGGCCTCCTGGAGCGCTCTTGGCTTGTCTTGGGACCCGCCAAGACCCGAAAAAGTCGCGCGGGGAGATGAGGGACAAGCATAAGGAGATTTGTGAAATCGGGGTCCCAGCCCCAGCATCGAGGATTGAGGCTCCGGGTATGAGGCAGTAGACCTGAGGACACGCCCACTCCATGCCCAGCGGCTCGATGGCGGATATGCATATGCCTACATGTATATGTAGATGTGTAAATATGCATATATACACATATTTACATATTATAGGTGTATCTGTATACAGAAACTATACACAGGACTGCATTAGCGCCTCGCGCCGTGCACCTTGGTCCTGGAAGTTTGGCGCGCAGGCGGAAGGGCAGGAAGGTCAAACGAGCACTTATTGTTACCTTTCCCGACATCGTCGTTATAATGATGTTATAAGTTTTTCAATCACATGATTCCTTTTTTCTTGTTCATTCTCGCCCTACCCTGCGACTTCTTTTCCATCCTTCCCAGCCCTCCTTGGAGAGCCTCTCGGGGGCCTCACAAAAGTTTTCCAGGTCTTTTTTGGGTCTTCTGGAGGCCTCTTATGTTCCTCTGGTGTCCTCTGGGGGCTTCCTCGGGCCACCCTGCTTCCAACCGCGGTCTCCCTGAAAGACCCGGTCACGCTTCGGAATGCTTAGGGGGGGATTTTGGGGCCATTTTGGGCCGTCATGGAGTTCTCTTCGGGCCATCTTGTGGCCCTGACGGGCCGTTCTTGGGCTCTCTTGGACTGTTTCCGTCCTCTTGGGCGTTTTCGGACGCCCAGACAGAAGACCGAAGACCAGGAGTTCCCCGTGTTTTTTTGCGGTGCGAAGGCCTCTTGGGGGTTTTCTTTGCGTCGTCTTAAAGTGTTTGGTGGGTGTCTGGGGCCTCTCGGGGCTCTCGCGGGACCGTTCGGCCGCCCTCCTGACCGATTTGGGCCCGTTGGTGAGGCCCAGGAGGGGGCTCCCAGGAGATCCGGATAAGCCCGGCAGGCGCGTCCAGGGCCCCCCCTTGGGGCCACGGATCCGGGGGGGTACCGTTTTGGGAGGGGTGTCCCGCCCCCCCCAGGGTGCAAAAACATGGGAAAACTTTCTCTCTCTCTCTCTCTCTCTCTCTCTCTCTCTTCTCTCTCTCTCTATATATATATAGATATATTCACATAGCTGTACTAATCCAATAGGTTCCCTCATTCATGGAAGACTGACTGGCCTGGCTCAACTCCGGGCCCGTCCGGGGAGCCTGTGCCCAGAGCACCCCAGGAGGGCCCCAGACGGCCCCAGATGACCCCAAGACTGCCCCACAGGGCCCCAGGAGGCCTCAGGAGGGCCCGACGAGCGCCCCCAGACGGCCACGATGGGGCCAAGATGGCCGAATATGGGCCCAAGATGGCCACTCAGATGGCCCAAGGGGGACTCCCAAGAGGCCCTCGGGAGGCACAAATCAGGGTTTTTTCCGTAGGTTTCGGCGCGATTTTCGCACACACTCGGCTCCTCGGTCTCCAGAGCACCCGCGACGGCCGAAGGGGCCCCCGAGGTCGCTCCAAGATGGCCCAGTAGGCGCCCGAGAGGGCCCCAAGACGAGCCCAGGTCTGCCCAAGACGGGCCCCAAACGGTCCCAAGGTGCTCCAAGATGACCCCCACAGGGGCTCCAGGCAGCCCGAGAGTGCCCCAAGACAGCCTATGGCCCCCAGACCGCCGCAGAACAGCCCCAAGAGGTCCCTTAGATTGCCCTGGGGGCACGGCGGCCCAGTAGGCCCCCAAGACGGCTTGAAAGTGGCCTCAAGAGACCCTGAAGAGAACCCACTCGGGATCCTGCAATAGTATGGCGACGGTCGTCTGATATTATTTGTTGTTTGTCTGTTGTACTCAATGTGTGTGTGTGTGTGTGTGTGTGTGTATGTACTGGTGGGTCGCGGGGTGGGTCGCGGGTGGGTCGCGGGTGGGTCGCGGGGCGGGTCGCGGGGTGGGTCGCTGGGTGGGTCGCGGGCAAATCGCGGGCGAGGACAACGACAACAACAACGACACCACCATCAACAACAGCACCACCACAACCAACAACCATAATAACAACACTAATAACAACAAGGCAACAAAGCAACAACAACGCAACAACAGCAGCAACAACGAAACGCATCAACAGTCCGCACCGCGGAGCTCCACTGCAGCCACGCGCCATGGGATAACCAATGACCTTCGCCCCCTCACCCTGATATACACATATGTACTATACTGTAATGCAAACTCTTAAATTTTGCATTACCAGGTTGTACCATATGATTTTACATCGCATTAGGTTGAAGTGTATCAGGTTGCATAAAGTTTCTAATGTGATAGTGTAGTCTTGCCAGCATGAATGTATCATATTATACCATGTTGTAGAGTATTTGGCAACTTTATAATACACTTCATGATATCATGACATATAATAGCTTATGCTGCTATATCGTATTGTATTCTATTCGAACAAATGAGTTGTATTTTTGCCATCACAGGCTGCAGTGTTTTGTAACCCGTCATTACATATCATAT